CTTTGGCAAAGATCTTGTTGATTTGATGAAGACAAAAATGAAGTCAAAGGCAACTTTGTAGCAGTCAAAAGTCTCTTAGATAAAAGAGTAGAGGGATTAGTGTGTCTGCAGCTCTGCTTAGGTATAATCATTTTTATCTTTCTGCTGCATGAGGTTTCTTCATTTAAAAGATTTTGCAAATGCCTCTAAAAAATGTTTAAACGGTTAAAAACAAAGTATTTTGATAAAAGTTTTCTTAACCAACTATTTTAACTAATAACATATAAACTTTATCAACTAAAATGTTCTTAATACTTTTGTAACATGTTTTTAACTGATATAATTCCGAGATAACCGATTGTTTTCATTAAAGGAAGTTTTGAAAACCTTCTGCCAGTATTTTAACTAATACAGTTTCAAAATAACCGATTAAAATCACTTAAAATGTTCAGAGAAGTGTTCTGGAAATATTTTAATCGATATAACTTCGAAATAATTGATTAAAACCACTTGGAGTACTGTATGATCGATCAGAATTGAGTTATGATCGATCAGAACCAGATATAATCGATCAGAATTGAGTTATGACCGATCAGAATTGTTTTAATCGATTAAATTTCATTTCAATCGATTAAAACAACTTAAGAGAATTTCTACACAACGTTTTAATCGATTAAAACATATTTTTATCAGTTAAAATCATTTAGAAAAATGTATAAAAATGTTTTGCAGTATTTTAATCGATTGAAAGTCGAAACAATCAATTAAAATAGATTGAAAGATTTTTTACAAAGGTTTTAATTGATATAAACGTTGTCGTATCAGTTAAAATAAATCTGAAAAATAATCAAGAACGTTTTAATAGACTAAAAGAAGTTTTAACAGATTAAAACAAGATTTTTACAGATTAAAAGATTATTTTAATAGATTAATTAAACCAGCAGATTTGAAAATCTTCTATATAAACAGAGTTGTTTAATTTTTTTTTTAAGACACAGATCTTACACATCTTTAGCAATCAAAAGTGCTACTTTCAAGAGAGAATCACGCTAGTTTTTGTGAAGTTCATTAAAATTCTTTCTTGAGACAAATTGCATTCTTTTGAAGAAGAAACACATACTGCAGAATTGCATAAAACTGGTTTGAGCGCTCTTAGTTTCTTCTACTTGTTTCTTTACTTTCTTTTATTGTATTGTGGGTGTCTGGAATTGTGGGCACTGATTTCTGTAGCTGGAATTTGGCTGCAGGTGTTGATCAAGAACTGGAATTTGGTTCTTGGTGGAAGGTTAAGTGCAGGAACTGGAATTGTGGTAGATTGAGTGTGAGATTAAGGTTGTAATCTGTAAAACATTCAATCTAGTGGAACCCAGCTGGAATTTGGCTGGAGACTGGACGTAGCCCTGAGATTAGGTGAACCAGTATAAACCTTGGTGATATCTTTCTAAACCTTTCTCTTCTTTAATTCTGTGACTGCATTTATTTTTGATTGCTTGCTGTGTAATTCAAGAATTGATCAGATTTCTTAATCTTTGAAATAGATAATCTGTTAATTGCGAAAATTTTTCAAAGATCAATTCACCCACCCTCTTGATCTCAGCCTATATTTCTAACAATACTCATTCGCATAAACATCAGACTAAGTTTGTTTAACCTTTCTCAAGCTCTATAATGAACTTTCTCTTCATTGCCACTAGCATGAGTGATAAGAACCGATTTTTCAACTTGAAAAGTCAAATCAATATCGAACACACCTAAGTGAAATTAGACTTGTTTACTCCAATTAGGAAAATTTAATCCATTAAGGACTGGAACAAACAAGCAAATATAAAGATGAATGAACAAATACTACAATTAATACATGCCTAACATTAAGCCTTTGAGTAATAAATTTAAATATAAAATACAGATTCAAACTTAAATAAACATTATATGCATTCTAATGTTCGAGATACACTAATACACAAACATAATGATACTAATCATATTATAACATTAATGATAATTAAAATATACATAATCATAATCACCTAATACCTTTGGTTATATAAATAAAACTAATGATGAACAGAAAATTATCTACCATAATGTTCATTAATTATAAGCACAATTAATTAACCTTTGGGTGATTCAGAAATATTTTATAATAATGAACTTCAATTAATCTATAAATCAATTATTTATAATTTTAAATCCATTTTATGAGTAATTAAAATAAAATTATCATCAATTTGAAATCAAATAAATTTACAACTTTGGTCATTTTGGTGACTAACAAAATTCATGCTTGTTTTTAAATAAATATATTAACCCTACATAACATTTTCTATTATTATTATTATTATTATTTTTTACCTTATAACGATATCAAAACATTAACATTAATAGCACCTATGAACTATGTCATGCTAATTACACACTACAAACTCAATTCATACAATATTTTAAATCCAAGCATTTGATCTTGAATCTATTCACCAAACACAGGGGCTATTTTTATATTTCTAAGCCTTTTAATTTATAATAATTCACATTTCAATTAAAAAATATATTATCCATATAATAAAATTAAAATATTAATGGTAATTTACATAAATTAATTCATAATGTGCAATTAATTCATAATGTAGCAGAAAAATCATCCATAAATTTCATCATATGCATAAACATACAATTGTAGCAAAAAAAAAAATCCCTAAATTTCATAATTAGGATTTTATAAAATTGAGAAAAACATGATTTGGGAACACAAGTGGAGAATCACAAATTTAACAACATGATTCTAATACCTCATATTAGTACTTATAATTTTCATAAATTCCTAATTCAATTCTAGAAAAATACTCTATAAGATCTTAAAATTTATAATTCTTACATATTGACATAAATAATAAATAGAGAGATACTAATTTTGATCCATGAAAAATCCAATGAAGATATGTTCTTGAATTTCTCTATTCTTGAATTTTCTTTTCCCACCCAATGTATCTCTTTGTCTTTATTTCATTTCTCACACTTTCTGATGATTAACAACAAGAAAACCTAATATTAGAAATAAAATCCTTATTTCCTTTATATAATCAACTTCTATCAAATTGATTATCATCAATTTTAGAGGATAACTCCTTGTAATATCATTAAGTTAGATAATTCATCTATTAACTAAATTGGTTACTATTAATGTTGAAACTTCCCACAAAATAAGTCATATAATTGGATTTATATATATATATATATATATATATATATATATATATATATATATATATATATATTTAAAAAGTGATAGTAAAATCACATAAAAAAAGTGGATAATATAACTGGTAAAATAATATAATTAATTAAGAAAATTATAATAAAATTTATTTTATAAAAGTAATAAAAAAACTAATATTAAATATCATATATTACATTTCATGAATAACATTCTCACTAGGTCTTATACACCAGTTGCCCTGTTAACAAAAATAAAAGTATAATCTTTTAGTACATTACTTAAGCTTATGGGTTTAATAGATTGTCTTCACATGGCAACAAGGTAGGGGTGGGTTTTGTCTCCCGGTCCTCGTCCCCAACTTTTTTTAATCGTCATCGTTCTCGCCCTCGATCTCCGTCGAAATTAGAAATTAAGTCCGTTGGGTTTCGAGTTTTCCCGTCTCGCTCGTCTCCGTCCTTGATCTATATTATTTTTAAAAAAATAATTATATTTATAATAAATTAAATTTACTATGTATTTTTTTATATAAATAAATATTTATAAAAGAAATATTTAATTATTTTTTATTTATATATATAGAATATTTATAATAAAAATAATAATATTATAATTATAATAACACTGTATTCAACACATTTGAATACTTAAATTATTGTTATTATTATTATAATACTATATTCAAACATTTAATTATATATATAAGTTAATTTATTTTTAAATTGTTAATTTAAAATATGAAATATATAATTTATAAGGAAATATTTAATAAATTAATTCTTATATAATTAATTTGAAGTAATAAAAGTTTAAATTATCAATTCTTTTTAATCCTTTAAAATATAATTACTTTATTAAGATAAAATTTGATATATAACAAATAAGAATAATAAGATTAAAAAAATATAGCATAATAAAATCTAATAAATATAAATTATAAATAAAATAATATTAAGTTCTACTAAGATTTATGTAAAATATTTAGAAAAATATAAAGATGAAAAAAATTGATTTGAGATATTAAAGAAACCCGAAAAACTGAAAGATAATAGAAAGAGAATAATGTAATAAACTAATTATTATAAAAGATAAAAAAATTAAAAAATGAGTATAAAAAAATTAAAAATAGTAAAATATAAAAAAATGACATTATATGTAATAAAAAAATACTATTAAAATATTAATATTTTAAAATTTTAATTTAAATATAAAGTCGGAGCAGAGACGAGGACATGGTGAAAATTGTATTACCCATCTCCGCCCCCAACTTTTTAAAGCGAGAAAAACCTGATTTCGTCTCCGGTCAACTCAATTTTTCTCCGTCAAGAGACGAGAACATATCGATCCCGACAGTGACGAATTTAATTATCATCCCTACTTCACAACTACATTTTTTTTTTTTAAATGAGAGACAATTTAATACTTGCTAACCTAACGTAAGTAAAGAAGTACAAAGTAAACAAGAGCTTAAGTACTAAGAGAGTCCTAAATCTTCTATACACAGCTGTAAGACCAAACCACCCTGAAAAACTCTAGAACACAGCCCCAATTGGTTTTGGACAGAAACACAATGAGGAACGTGCCCTAAAATTTCCCACACCATCCATATTCAGGGCACCTACACAACATTGGAAACTGATCCATCAGCCAACACAGAAGAGTCAGGCATTCATGTCACCTCCTGTTCAACAATTTATACTAATCCACGAGTATATATATATATACACGACCAATATTTTTCTGAAAATATTCTAATTATACTGATACAAATTGTGAAGTGTGGCAATGTCATTGACTACAAAACATATTTTCATTTAATGTGTCTCTTTTGAGTAACACCGAAGTTTGGCAAAAATCTCGTTACAGAATATTGAAAACCAAAAAATCTAGCAAGGTTTTGGCAATCTTTCTTCTCTTCTTCATTATCTGTTTGTGAACTCAAGTGACTCAAATAAGTTTTCCCCTCGTATATATATGAGAGCTGCTGCCACAAAAGAACGCTCAATCCTATCTGCAACGAAACACTTGCAATGAACAGATAAGCAAGAATGAGTCCCCTAGAGGAAAGAAGCAGGGTAGATTTCAGGAATGCAACAATAATTTCATTCAAAATTTTCCATGCCAGCTCGCTGCCACTAACCCCGTTTATGCGCCCAACTGAGTATTTCAAAGGTGGCATCACACGCAAGCCTGCATATACAGACATGATAGAGACATAGATTGTACTCAACACTGCAGAAATGAGGAAGCCAATGAAGCTCCGGTGATTAGCTGCACCGACACAGTTCCCAATCTGCAAGAATTATATCACCAAACGAGCATTGAGACAAAGCAAGTTTGAAATGCAAGAATTATACCACTATAACGGCCAACAAAATCATCCATTCTACACACCAACTAACAAAAACTAATCATGAGATTACAAGGCTAACTGAATTCCATACAGAAGTATACAGCTAAAGCTTGATATGTATACAATATACATAAAAATCCATGGTAAAAAGTTGTACAGTTAAAGATGGTGTGCATTCATTACAATATGAACCAAAAATTCAAGTGGAGATTGCAGCAATAAACTAATATTTCCATAATTAGAAAATGGAAAGTAAAAAACTTACAAATGGGCAGTGATGATCCATGTCCAGGATGCATTTTCTACAAGAACGACAATGATGAGCTCTAGGTGACTTTGGTTTTGAGCAGTAGTGACAATAAGTATAATTTTCAAGGTCACCTTTCCCTACAGCGGGGTAGCTTCCCCATAATGTATTTGGTGGTGCGCCAGCACATCTAAATGCTGCAAAGCTGAAAAAGGAAATGGTGGCTATGGACAAGATTGCTGTAACGACTGAGTGTAAAACTCCACAAAGAATACTGACAGCAAAGACGACAGGATAAACTGCCCACACCCCACCAACTGCACAAAAAAACATGTACAAGAAAAATAAATAATTCAGTTCATTTTTGGAAGAGGTGATGGATATTAAGGATTAAAAGGCATCACAATAAAACATTTAGAAGAAACATTGACAATAGAATAATCTTTTAGGGTTTACTCTTTAGAGATGGATATCAAGAAACACTGACAGCAAAAAACACTGATATTAAGGATTCAAAGACATCTCAATAAAACATTTAGTAGAAACACTGATAATAGGATGATCTTTTTATAGTTTGACATTCACAGGGAGAAAAACAGAAAATCATAAACCAAAGAACAATTTCTTCAGCACTACAAGATCACCGAGCACCAACTACAACTAAAACTATAACATGGAATTCATGCCCTCTTTGCATAGCAAATCCAAACTCTAAATAAAAAATGTAATGAAATCATCCTTTTTAAATTAAAATTGCAGGAATGGTCTCTACACACCCAAAACAGACCAGATCTATAATCAAAGATATTCCCAGTTCCAAACAAGACATCTCTCCAAATTCTCAGGGCAACAAAAATAACTTATTTTATGAGATTTCCTACATATTATTCTTGCCTATTCTAGAAGCTAAATAGATTAGACAAAGCACAAAATTTGTTTTTTATATAGGGAAAATATATAAACGTCCAAATTCCATCTGATAAAATGATAAATTATTAAAGAAATGGCTTCCTTGACTAACCAGAAAACCTGGGGTATTGAAGACAATATATAGAAATGATGGGGGCATTTTCTAATACTGAGGATTTTTTTCCTTTATTCAAACAAGAAGTGAAAAAGGAAAGGGAAGAAAAAAAAAAAAATCTGAAAGAAAATTAAATTTCAGAAAATTTATTGAAAATAAAAACGAAACAGGAGTTCTTGTTAAGAAAGTTCAATATTCTGGTGTACCAAGAAAGGGGGGGGATGTTCTATATTTAGAAGAAAGTCCCCTAAAGTACTATAATCAAAGCACTAGACAATAGTAATGGAAGACTTGTACACCATCTCTCAATTTGAATGTATCAAATAAACTTGACAATAGACAGATATTTGACAAAAATATGTTGTCCGGAAGAGAAAACCACAGAAAAGGAGGGAAAATTTAAAAGTAACACCTAGACCCCTGAGGAAAGTAAAAACAAGACTGCTCATAATAGATGTGACAACAAATAAAAGTAGAAAACAATAGGAACAACGGAGACTTACATATTACAAAAAATATAAATACAAGGACAACAGAGACAAAGCATCGATCACGCACTACTCTCCATTTGATGCACTTCTGATCACTTTTCGTTTTTTTGTTCTGATCTGTAATAGCCCCACACCAGCCACATTTGAAAGCAGATGCACATGATGGAAGCAAAACACGCAGTCCGCAACCCCAGCATGTTGTCTCAAAATTCTCGGTAACCTCAGTTACATATTGCTCCTATATGTGACTTACATGAGCAACCAAGGAAGCTACAAAATTTTCAAACTGTAGAGAGAAAAAAGGCAAGCAATAACAGCCATGAAGTCATCTATTTACTAAATGACTGAGACTGAGAAGTCATAAGGACTAACAATGTCCAAAATCATGTGCTTTTTAAAGAAGTTAGAAACTCCATTACAAGTACAAGAAACAAAATCAACATATAATTATACACTAGTGTTTTTCACTATGTTAAAGATTCACATCTTTTATCTGATAAATAATAATAATGATAATACATTAAGGAGCTCCAACCTAACTGTTAAAGGAATTACCTATACATAAGCAAACTCAAATCCCTAGTTTCAGCTATTTTCTTTACATCTATTGAAGCGTGCTTTTCATTTGGCGGAGGCTTTGATTATAAGCATGGCATATTACTTGAAATAAAGGGTTAAATCTCATATGTCAACTTGCCTTCATCCTGGTTTAGGAAATTTCTAAAACTGAATGATATAGTTGGGCTAGGATGTGAGTAGTTGTTATACATGCCCTTGTCTCAATGTGTTTTTGTTTCAACTTTTTCTAGGGAGAAAATGGCATTTTCTTAAAAGCTAACTCACAGCTTGCACAAAAAGAATTGTTTTTCCTTTCCCCAAAACAAGCTAATTGAAACAGACAAGGTGTGATAGAAAAGTCATTTCTATTTAACATTTTTTCATTTCATGGCTAAGGATCCATTAAATGTCCTGCAAAGTTGTGCATGTCGTGAACTAGAAAACTTAGAATGGAAAAAAGAACACCTTCCACTGGTTTTACACAAAAAAAATATGTTTGGTATAAAGTCAATATGAACTCATTCTGGCATCTCCTTCCAAAATATGTAAGTTAGCCTAAATCCTTTCCCACCCTCTACCAACAATAAAGGACTGAAACCAAACCTTTCTATACAATCCCACTATGTTCTAAGTACCTTACTCTTCACCTTCTCTAACAACTACGCCCAACAAGAGTTCACATCACAAAAAGAGCAATAAACTAACTTTTTACTCTCAGCTCCAAAGGGACAATTTCCTATTGATCCTGCATCGTTCCTTTTCTTGGTGTTCTCAAATCTTTCTCACTCAAAATTTAAAAGGTTATTTGAGACCAAAAACACAGATTGCTTCCTAACGACCTGATTTTGTCACAAAGCAATTCAACATTCGATTTACCGTTCAATTCAACAAATACAGCTGCAAGTGTAACACATCAAATAACACAACTTCCACTAAAAAAAATTAAAACAATAGTAACATAAAAAACATCATAAACATGATTTCATCTTTCTTCCCTTCCATAAATATTAGTCAATGAAAAACACACCAAGAGATTAAACGCTTGCAACTATCTATGTAACAGAAAAAATACATCTTGGGTTTTATGTTTAACAGACGGTGAGACTCGGATATAACGGAAATAATGCTTTGACTAAACAATTGATCGAAGAAGCGATGATAACCGACAAACTAAAAAAGAAAAATAGAGAATCCAAATAAAAAATAAAGAGAAAAGAATCGAAAATAGAAAAGGGGTGTGATGTGGAACCAACCTGGGTGGAAGAAGAAGAATCCATAACAGTCTGAGAATTGGGAGCTGAGTTAGAACTCGAACAAACTTGAAGAAGAAGGGGTTTACAATTTTGTTTTTTAGTTCGATAAATCGCACGTGACCATGACGCATTCGGTTAAAATCAAATGTGAAAAATATCAAAATCACATATTTTATTATATGAACTTTGTATTGGAAAAAAATCATAAATATTAAATTTAAACATAAAAAATTAAAACATTATTTTTATAAAGTTAGAGGATTGAATTGATCAATTTAAAAATAAAAAACTTTAAAAATCTAATAAAATACCGGACAAAAATATTTTTACTCGATCAAAAAATTAAATAAATATTCTAATCATAACTTCTCACTAATAAAACAAAATTTAGTAATTTTCAGGATTCATTCATAGAAACACATGAATCTCAGGATAGATTTGTGTTTCTATCTTCAATTTTGTTATATGATTTCATTATTTTCATGATCTTCATTTTGTCATTTCATTCTTACTTCAGATTTTAATTTGGTGGCTTTTGAATTAATGATTTCATATTTTGTAGAGATAAAAGAAAGAAATCTTTTTAGAAAGATGAAAATGAAAACAATGCAACATGTACAATTATATACTCAAGCCTCCATAACTTTTATTCATAAAAGCGAAGTTGTATAATAAGAAATCCAAATACAATACTTGATCATTCCTTAACTTCATGTGAACATAATCATCCAACCAAAGAAGCATCAAGGACCACCACTCAAGAAGGTATCCACCTTCTTATTCACAGCTCTAGATAAGAACTTCATGCAAATCGGTGGACTTGCTCCAGCAAGAGACAGTATAGCAGCAGGAACACTCCACAGAGAATCACCACATATAAGTCCAGAGGCTAAAGCAGGAACATAATCATTTGCTTTCGATTTGTTACGTTTCTCCCACAAAAACAGAATCAAGCTCCCAATGCACATGTCAATAGCAAAGTACCCACCAAGATAGAATGGGATGGCCAAAGCCATGGCATTAGGAACAAACCTATATATCCTATACTTGGTCTCATAACGCACCAACAAATCACGCACTATGTTAATAAACACTGCCAAGAAAAAGAATACGATAGCTAGTTGAAGACAATGTTTAGGAAGAGAAGAGAAACCTTTTGCTCCAAGGAGGGCCATGCCACGGTAAACTTCTCCATAGGGTGCAGGGTAAGAACCTTGAGGGTCACCCAGTGTGTAAGCCTTGTGGAAGAACCAAAACATCAAAGGGGACACAAGACATCCTGTGGCAGTGCCTAAAACTTGGCTCACAAACATGGACCTAGGAGATGAAAGGGTAAGGTACCCGGTTTTGAAGTCTTGCATCAAATCAGAAGCAGTGGAAACAATGCTCATCATGACACCACATGATGCAAGGCCTGCAATGATGCCTCCATTCTCAATGCCAACCCAAGAACTGAATATAATAATGGCAACTTTGCCATAGTTTGATGCCAAAGACCAGTCAGTGAGACCACATCCATAGGCATTGCAGAATGCCAGAATAGGAGCAAAGAGGTAAGTGATTAGTACATGATACCATTTCAGCTGAGGAAATATGTGTGACACGGTTATGATGGAAATAACTGCAAGGACCACGTAGCCAGTGAAAGCAACCCAAGAGGGAATCTGATCTTTCAAGAAATACTCGGTGCGTCGTTGAGTATCTAAATCTCCACTTGGGTTTTGATCAACATTGTCAGGGTTTTGATCGAATGACTCCTTTTTCTCAAGGTATTCCGTGATAAGACTATAGGCAACTCGTATTAGCATGATGACACAATGGTAAAGACCGTCACCAAGCATCATAGCAATTGCGGTGAAGACCTGTTCATGGATTTTTCTTATACTACACAATTTGAAACATGTAATAAATTTTTAACTTTAAAATGACATGATACAAATTGTGAACAATAAAGGTTGCTAAGTGATTATATATGTACCCTATATCCCTGGACGCTGCTTAGACTGCTAGCAGGTATTTCTGCACTATACCAGATTCCTTTCTTGTGCTCAATCCAAGGCCAAAGGATTCCCCATGAGATTATAGCTCCAAGAAGCAAAGATACGTTTATCAAGTAAGGGCAAATCATTCCAACTCCAACATAGGTAGATGAGAAATCAAAGTAGAACCTGTAAATTTTTTACACAGGTTATTGTCACAAACAATTGAATACTATTCAGTAAGAGGGAGAGAAGAGTTTGGGGAAATATACACAGTAAACGTCGTCAGTATGAAGACTTTTACCCCATCAACCAATTAGAAAATATTCTAAATATCACTTTTAAAATAATTTATGTAAAAGTCAACAATCTTACCATATGAGATTTATATTCTAATTAAATTCGTATTGTAAAGGCATTTGTTGCTAAATGGAAATTCAGCAATCTTAATCAATTTGTAATCATATGCCAAACAATCTTAAACAAAAGAAGACAAGATACATTTGGAAGTAAGATGTGTGTATATGCATACTTTTTGCTGTAAGCTTGGAGACCAAATGTGGGAAACGTGCTGATCCCACAATCTTCTCCTCCAGTGAAAAACCACTGGAAAAAAGCAAAAGCAAAACTGCCACAAAAGCTTTTGAAGAGCAAAGCAACCTGTTTCCTGTTTACACAAGAATGGTAAGGTTAAGTATGTCAAAAAGGTGCATGTGGTTTATGCATACACATGAATTGCAAAATAATACTTACTTTGCTAGCTTTGCTCCTTTTGGTGTGTGTAAGCTATTGACAAGAAGAGCTGTGGCTGTTCCACTCGGGTATGTTAGTTTGTACTTCAAAATCATCATCTGTGAAATTCCAATCCAATATTTGAAGTTTAATAAACTGCAAACACTTTTACTTGAATCACGTTGCAATTGCGGAATTGTATTCTAGTTTTGTTTCTTCCAACCTTTCTTAGAGGCACTATAGAGAAGAGACCCACAAAGCTAACAACAAAGAGAAAACCAAACATCCAACCGAGAGAGAGGCTCTTTCTATTGATCGGTGTGTTCCCCCCATCAACTTGAGCAGCAATGTATGGGCTCATCCCAAGTAGATAACTCCCCATGCCACCTTTTCACAGATTAAATTTTATGTAACAAGACACAAGGATTCTATGCACCAATTAAAGTCAACAACTTAGAATTCGTCAAAATTTGGGGAAAATAAAACATTCAAGGCGAATTCATTGATAAAACAAATTTCGTGTAAATTTTCAACAGGGGCACTGATAAACTCAAACCAATTCCAAAATTGATTTGTTTTAATCTGTTACCCTGAAGCCAAATTTGGGTTGAAACTATTTCTTTTCATGTTGGTATATACTAGTTTTCATGTATTTTGTAACCAAGGACACAGCATGCAGTTCTATGTGGTATATTTCAACATTGAAAAGAGAAGATAGAATAGTACAAAATATAAGACCAAAAATGTGGTCAATGAAACAAACAATTAAAGACTCACTGCTGAATGCAATTCCAGATGATGAAACAACGAAGGTTTGAATGACAGTGTTCTCTTGACGAGTGAAAGGTTCTCTGAGAAGGCCACAATTGTTGAGGAGTGTAGTGTAGGCCTTAATCACTGCAAATCCCAGCAACCCTGCAGCTACATTGAGGGATGGAATGATCCCTGTGGTGAAGTTGAGTTTGCACACAATGAAGTTGAAAACGAGACTGAGGACAAAGCTTGTGATTACTGCTCTCAGTGTGATCTGTTTTATCCATGGTGGCACCCTTGTCCTCCTGAATGCCTCTTCACCCTTCATGTGACCCTCTTCTTCCATGGCCAGGAACTCTCACCAAACCACAATGCAATTAATGTTTTCCTCACTTTTTCTCACCCCTGCAAAGAGTGGTGGCTTGTAACTCTGGACAAAGTGTATTTAAGGTAAGCACATTGAACAAATGTGTGTACAATTTGTTTAATAATGAGAAATGTAGAGAATCAATCAACACAATTTCTATTTACTCCAACTTTTCATAATGGAATTAAGGGGTTACCATTTGTTAAGGATTGATATGGATTGGTTAACCTCTTCTCTTGGAAAGCTTTCATTACAAACATTATTCTGAGCCATGAAGCAAGAACTATATTCTACAATTCACATTCCTTCTACACTTGTATATCAATTTTTACTCCCTAAGGAATATAATTGTTTTAAACTAAATTAATTTTAATTTTAATTAATATCTTTAATTATTGGAAAAGTAAAAGAAATTATTATATATATATATATATGATGTTTATGATTAGATGATTTTTTTTTACACTATTGATGCATAACCTATTTTTTCTCTAATTACAACGAAATATTAAAAGTTTGGGATACAATATTTTTTTTTTGTAAATGATGAATAATTTGAAATAAAATTTAAAGTGAGAAAATATCTTTGTATTTTTGTTTTCGAAAATCAAATTATCCATTAATTTCACATTCTCTACTTATGTTTCTTCCGAAGCATGTCGATTAATTAAGTAACGTTTAGATTATTTCTTTTCCTAAATAAACGTTGGATTATTCTAATTTAATAGACGGTTTTAAGTTCAAAACGTATTTAACTGTATTAACTATTTGAAAGAGAATCTTTATTTCAATTTTTTTTCAATTCAAACAAGATTACGTTTCATAAAATTTTAGATACGTTTACTTCTATATTTTTCATTTTTCTTCTGAATATATAATTATTTTTTATCTTCAATAATTTTATATTTTTCAAGATTTGTTCTTTCTCTCTTACATGCTTAAACTAGTAATGGATTTTTTTATTTTTTATTTTTGCACTTGTATATAGAGAGAACTAAGAAAATCTTAAAAAGTGAGAGTTATACAAGTACACAAATATATAGATATTTTTCTTATATAAAATGAGACAGATTGTTTATTTATTCAAGGTTTACAAAATGTAGTTTATAAAATATTTTAAAAATTAGCAATTCAAAATCATAATAATTGTAAAATATAACACATAAAAATCAATAAATATGTGTAATAATATTTTATTTCTTCATATATATCCTTATTTATTATTAAAGCATAGACTTTAAAAAGTTATGATATATATAAAGACAATAGAGATGGTTTCCTTTGAAGATTTATAAGTAGTATTTGAATGGTTTTGGTTAACATATTAACCTCTTGTATATATTAATTCGTTGATTATTTATATAATTATATAAATTCATCATTTAATGCTACTATGAAAAATAATTAATGCAATATTTATTGCTATTATGAAATATTAATACAACATTTAATGCTATGCATATTTAAACTCTGTTCTTTTATATTTATCCATCCCAAAACATTACAATTTTAGTGATTTTTTTTAATGGAATGATTTTATATATGCTTTTAATGAAACATTATTATTTTTATTCCTAATGCCCTTCAAATAAAATGCAGTAATATTTATATTTAAAATATATAAAAATAATAATACATATATGGAGAGAATGATGTAATATGAAGAAATTATTTGAACAAGTGACATATTTATTATTATTTTTATTTTTGAGAAAAAAATTTGGAATTATTTCGAACGGAAGAGTAATATGATAATATTTTATTTAATTAAGATATATGTTTAAATATAAAACGTATTTTAGATAATCTACATTCAAATAAATAAATATTAGATGTAGTGATTTAAAAAAGAAATTCTAACGTATTATATTATAATAAAATGATATTATTTTTATAACTGATTAATCTATAAATTTAGGTTTGACTTGATCAAGAGTGATAGGTTAAATTTTTTGGATAAGAATTGTTCGTTTCAATTTAATTCATTTAAAATAATCACATTACTTTCTGTTCACCACATTAATTAGTGACGTTAATCAAAATTATTGATCTTCAATTTCGAAGATACCAAAAATTAAAAAAATAATTAAAATTAAAATTCACTCATTTAAATTTGAGCAAACTAAAATCATATTTAACTCATTCATTTATCATATTTCACTCTAACTCATTAAGAATAGAATTTCTTCCTCAACTAAATTAAGAAAGAAATCATTGAATTATACTTATTATAGTCGTTGACACACATCATTAAGTTCAAAACCAACCTAAACTAATTAATAATTCTTATTTTTTTTTCTCAAGATATAATCTTATATTTTGTGAAGTCAACCAGCATAGCCACAAACTTGAGCAGGAAAAAACAAAAAACTTGCCATAGAAAGAAGTGTGAAGTTAAGGAAACATGATAAAATACTTCTCCATCATCGATCTTATTATAATTTGTTATGAAGAATGAACATAGGGAAAAGTAAAATAACGTTGTTGTTGTTGTATTATGAACGTAGGATCCAAACAACAATGAGACAAGACATTTATTTTACTACATAATATATGTTTTTGAAGACAAGACCAAGACTAAGATAACGACATGGATCATACTATAATGTATTTAGTTAGTTTTACATCATTTCAACTGTGCCACCACGTTTCTTCTTGGGTGCCCCAGATTCAATATCATCATACAATGAACTCCCATACTTAGAACTTGAATTTTCAAGCTTATCACCCTGACCCCAGATGGCATAAGCCTCTTCCCCATGAGCAGCTTCATCACCAATCTCCATGTCCTCTTCAGACATTCTGAGAGGAACAAAAAGTCTAATGAAGAGGCAAATCAAGCTTGTGCTGATAACATTGACAACGATCACAAAGAGAATCCCAAGGATTTGGATCCCCATTTGCCTCAACCCGGTGTTGAATAAGTTTTGATGGAAAGAATAGAACAGACCAACGTAATTTCCAGGAACACCGTAGAACAATCTGTTAAGTCTTGGCTCGGCAAAGAGTCCAGTGAGGAGTCCTCCTAGGGTTCCTGCAATGGCGTGTGTGTGGAACACTGCCATTGTGTCATCAACCTTCTGCAGTAGCTTTGATCTCTTGTGGACCACCATCATTGTGAACCAAGGAATTGAGCCAGAGAACACTCCCATTAAAAGTGCTGCCCATCCCTGTACAACTCCTGAACAAGATAATCATTAGTACTAGTTAAAACATAAACCTTTAGTTGAGAGAAAAAAAAAAAAAGTTGAGAAAGAAACCTGCAGCAGGGGTAATGCAGACCAAACCAGTGATCATGCCTTGAACAGCTCCAATGACAGAAGGCTTCCGGAAGAAGATGACATCAAGTAAAACCCAAATGAGCAAGCTGGTGGCAGTACAAGCGTGGGTGTTGAGGACGGCAAGGGAAGCATCTGAATTCACTATGTATGGATCTCCTCCGTTGAACCCTGTCCACCCCATCCACAACAGCCCTGCACCTGCCAACATCAGAAGCAGGTTGTTTGGAGGAAACCTTTCCCTGTCCTTGTTCAGCCTTGGTCCAACCTGTCATATAATATACATGAAAAGTACCCATGTGTTAGTACATATTTAGATAGAGAAAGATATAAAAGAGATAGTAGTGCTAATGTGATTAATGTAAACAAAAGGATAGTACTTTGTTAGAGTTTTTGGTTTTTAACTTTACTTGTGTAAGAATGATCAAAAGGTTAAAAAGGCACAAATGTGACTGTGAAATGTTGTTGCTTACCCAATATGCTGCTGTGAAACCAGCAACCCCAGAAGACAAATGGATGACATATCCACCTGAGTAGTCTATTATCCCCATTTTGGACAAAAAGCCACTGGTACTCCATATGCTGAAAGCTGTGAAAGTGTAAGAGAAAGTGAGCCACAAAGGCACAAACAGCATCCAAGCATAGAAGTTCATGCGTCCCAACAGAGCCCCAGCAATGAGAATCAGAGTAATGGCTGCAAAGACACACTGGAAATACACCATTGTGGCATTAGGGATGGCCCCCAAAAAGGCCTTCTTGAAGAGATAGTCCTGTTCAAGTGACATGGCAGGCTTACCCCAGAAAGGGACAAGTTCGTCACCAAAGGACATTCTGTATCCCCACACAACCCAACAGAAAAACACACATGCAAAAGCATACAGTGACATGAATGCTGAGTTCACTGCCCATTTCTTCTTCACTGCTCCACCATACAAGATTATCAGCCCTGGAACACTCTGCAGACCCACCAGTGTTGCTGCCACAAGCTGCCATGCATTGTCTGCTCTATTCAACCAGTCAGGGCTTCCATCTGCTGGTAAAATGTTTGAGGGTATCGGAACAGCAGCCATTTTTCACACTCTTTTTTGAGTGAGTGAGTGAATGAATGTTCAATATGTAGATCACTCAACTGAATATATATGCACACACAGATAGAGAAAGAGAATAATTGTTGAATGAAGCGGCTAGTGTTGGCATTTTTTGTGATTATATAATTTTGAAGAAGTTGTTTTGATTCTGACGACTAGCTGTAGAGTGTTGTCATTGAGATGTTGTCCTAGGTCATGTCGCTCTTGATAGACCTGAGGCGGGTATTACAACACTTTTTCTGCTAACGGGATCAACAAAGTTCCTCTGTGTCTTAGTACGTACGTAACTTCCCGATCACAAGAAAGCTAGTGTAGAATGTATATATATATATATATATGTAATGCTTCGTCACAAATATTCTTTAAATATATATTTTAACAATAAAATAAAAAACTATTATTTAAATTTTCTATACAAAATTTATTATAAGAATAAAAGTAAGAACGAAAAGTTATTTTTAATTTAATAATTTAAAATAATAAGTTATCTTAATTATTAAAATACAATAAAATAAATTTTAAGAACGAAAAGAATCATCAAATTTTGTAATTTGGAAATGAGAGAACTTATTAAAACAATGTGTTCCTAAATTTTCACTTTCACATGTACATATTTGGCATATTAACTCATTATCAATATCTAAATTTTTTTATTAATTAGTGTTAAGGGTGAAAATATCCTTAATTTCGCTATGTTTAACTTAATCTAAACAAACACTAATCTGTCTATTTTCCTTAAAATAGGCAACTCAACTATTTTGTTAAAACAAAGAGATGTTAATTTGGATGAAATTTGAAATTTTAAAATAGATTCTATGCGTTTGTTAGTAAGAATTTGAATTTAAATTATATTTAGGATTTAGAGTTTAGATGTAGTGTTATTCTTCCCTTCAAATGTAAGTTTTTTAATATTTATTTATAATTAAATTTTTTTATTAATGTAAATACACTGAGGTAAATTTATTTATAATTCTTCAAATTTAAAATTGATTTTTTTTGTAGTCTGGGTACTCTAATCATCCTAAAAATATCTTTGTCTAATTCATATCAAATTTTACATTATTATCATCAAATATCCAACCATATGTCTATTTTTCTTTCAAAGTATTTCTTCTGACATTCTTTATGTTGTTGTAAGACATTTTGCCATAAGATTTTTTTTTCAAGTTGTGGAAACTAAAAAAAAATATCGATTTTAAATTGAAGAGCCAAAAAAGAAATTTAACAGATTAAAATAATAATGGAACTTTTATTGTTTAACAGATAATCTTTGTACAATACAATTTAATATTATAATGAAACTATTTATTTGAAATCATAATATATTAAAACATCAACATACCCTAATTTAACTTTTATACTTTTTTTATTTACCATGTAACTATGCATAATATTATATTGTGTTTTAAAATTAGGATTGAACCAACATTTTTCAAATTCTTCAACAAGTCTTAATCACATTTGTTGCAAATAAATTGTCTCTTTCTTCCCTTTTGAATTTTTAACTCTGATTTGACTTGTTGTTGATATGATTTATACAAACAAATAAAAAAATACTATGGTTCTTTTAGTGAAATTTATTTCATAAATATTTTTTTATATAAAATAATTTTAGTATTTGAAATTTGTATAAATTCATATTAAAATAAACTATGTAAATTATTGAAACAAATATATATATATATATATATATATATATTATTTTTATTAATAGGAAGCAAACAAAACAAGTGATATAGTATTTGTACGAAAAGGATTTTCATTAGAACACTTTCTCTTTCTAACCATTTATCTCCCGGTGCCATGGGCATCATGTCATATTCAACCAGCTAAATAAAAGTCAAAATTTGATCATCATGATCAAATAACCATCAATTAAAAATAAAGACCAGAATCAATAATTTATAACGATTTAATTGAAACCGGTTTGTGTTCCGCACAATACCAAAACTGCAGTAGCAGAAACCATGTATGTAACAACAAAAGCAATCCAATAGGCACTGTTGCATAAACGCTAATAACTCCATGTTTACCAGTTCATACAAATAATTAAGCTGTAAATTGAAAGATAATTCTTAGAAATTTGACGCAAACTTTCCAACATCTGCTGCGATAGTCATCATGAGTAAAACTAGTTCTTCCTCCCTGAATGAAAATGACAAGAAAAAATCAGAAAATGAAAGGATACATGTCTGAAGCAGACATTGTGGAACCAAGTAGCTAATGCCAATCATGATTGATATAGCAGCGTATGAATTAAGAGTATTTTTGGATGAACTTTTCTATTAACAAGAAAAACATAAAATATTTTTTCTATAAATAAAAAATAATTTATGCATAATTTTAAAAATAACATTTTAAAGAAGTTAGTGAGAGAACTTCTACTTAATTTGTACATAAACAAATTATGAATGATTAGAAGAGTAAAATGCAGAAGAGTTAGATCAGAATATGAAACACAATAAGTATGGTTAAAGCATATGAATATGAACGATGTGAGGATGTCAGGCTCCCTGATAGAACCAATAATCAATCTAGCAGCAGTGATAACAGGAGATTTAATCCAGAAATCTAAAATCCTTTTTATTTCTGACAAGGCGTGAGAAAACTAGGGAGACCAATCTGAATTATTCACCAATCTGAATCTTACAAGGGAAGGCTCGATCTAAATAGGAGAAACTGACAGGATCAGTTGTATTCTGTTACGAAAATAAATGTTTATAACACTTGACATAGGAATCCGGTACCTACAGTAATAACTATTTGACTTTATGAAGCTTGGATACTTGATACAACTCGATATACAGGAAATTTTTTAAATTTGATACAACTCGATATACAGTACCCTTCCATCTTTTGTAGATAGAAGTTGAAAAGGAATTAGCCATCAAAGCTAAAGTGACAAAAAAAAAGGGAAAGGTAAGAAAAGGAATTAGAATAAGCCACCTATGAATTCCCAAAGATAAGTGCAATTGTGGTTCACCACTAGAAGAATCTCCCCCAAGATAAGAACAAAAGAAAAAAAAAAAAAAAAAAAAAAATTCTCACAATGTCTAATTTCAAATATTCAAGTGTGTTGATACAAGAGAGACCCTAATATAGGGTGAGAAATGGTTCAAGAAGCTTCCAAGGAATAGGTAAAGAAGCAAAACTAACACAACAAGGTATGATGAATACACCTTGGCCGTGAGGTATGATGGTGACATGACATGTGCGGGAGTAACAACTCCTTCATAAATGAGGTGGTTAATATTAATGGGCTTGAATAACTTCGTCATTAATCAGGTTCTTATGGGAGCTCATGGATCTTCCCACTTTATGAAGTTATGCTATTAAGGGACAGTATAGTGAATGAGAAAGGCACAAGTTATTTCAACTACGGGGCAATTTTTCTGTTATGTGATATGCAAGTACAAGACTTTTGAAGAATAATTTCCTAAAAAGGTTAGACAAGAAATTAGAAAGATAATATTCTCAGGCATTATAAGTTCAAAAAATTTTAATTAAGTATCAAACTATATGTGAATAGTCAAGAGAAAATGGGCAAGTGCTTGGGAGGTAGTGGAGATGAAAGCAACCAGCAATTAAGGTTAATATGATCCTCGAGAAAATAGCACAAAGGTGTTCTTGCAAACAAATCAAAGTTATACCACCACCACCACGAGAGGATGGTGACACATCGCTGAGATGTGGTGAATGATTATTGTCACCCCTTGTGTTGTGAGAAATTTAGTAGATCCTAAAAAACAAAAAAGCTAATTGTAGGAAAAAAAGAAGAAAAGAAATACCTGTGCTTTTATCAGAAATATAGCCACTACCATCCCTTCCACCAAAGTCGTGACCACCACCACATCTTCCACTGCCGATACCTTGGTTCTCACGCCGAGGTTTTGCCTTTTCAACTATCAACGGAAAACCTCCAAGCTCAGTTTGATCAAGAAGTAGAGCTTTCTTCAGACCGACATCATCGTTGAAGTCCAAGTGAGCAAACCTGTTGGATTTGAGATAGGAATTCAATACACACGTTTTAAGTTTTTCCAGAGTTCTACAATAACAAGCTGATGTATTTTGAGAAAAATAGTTCCCTCCATGCAATCTCCTTAACAGGCAAGCAAACAAAACCCTTCTTGTATTAGTAGTGTCATTTTATTGATTTCACTGTAGTAAGTTCTGCTTAAATATAGAGTGGGATATATGTTGTTTAGTGAGCCACTGAGCACCTTATATAGATATAAAAGAAAAGACAAAATGTTTATAGGAATTAATCATATAGCAGAATCAGGGATACGATTTCTGCTTTAAAAATAAAAATAAATTATTTCTATTTGTATAGAGATAGAATACGAATTCCGTGTAATTAGAGCACTTATTCAATTTATTAGCTTTGTTTTTTAATAAACCATTTTTGAAATTAACTTGAAAAAAAAAACTTTATTGATAATTTTATTTTTGAAAACTATTTTAAATTAAAGAGAATAATATAAATTATCACAATAAGTCATAATGAAAAATAAAAAATAATATTAATACAACAATAAAAATAAGTAATTTAATGTAATTATTGATAAAATATTAATATTCATTAATAAAAATAAAAACAAATAGAAAATACTTTTTATTGATTTTGGTTTTTGTAGTTTTTAAAAACTAAAAAAGGAAAAATAATCTTTAAAAACTATTTTAATCAAACAGTTATCAAATAAGGTTTTAATGTTAAAACTAAATACTTTATTAGAAAGAAATTTCTCAAATTTTCTATTTTAAGCATATATCATAAATATATAATAGTTAAAGATTTCATGTTGACAAGTGATATCACTAAATTATAATACATAAATAGATGCAAACTTATTTATAAGCTCACTTTGTACCAATTTAGTTCTTAATATTATCAATCTAATTATCCTAATATCATATCTACAGGATTCTCACATATCTATAAGATTCTAATGCTCCCCATAAGTGAGAGTATATAAGTCATA